CTCAGCCTGCTTTCTTATACTTACCAAGGATCCCAGTGATGGCATTGCTCACAATAGGCTGGGCCCTCCATCATCAATCACTAATTAAGAAAATACGCTGTAGGCTTGCCTACAGCTGGCTCTTATGAAGGTATTTTCTCAGCTGAGGTTCCCTTCTCTCAGATGACTTGTGTCAAGTTGACACAAAACTATCCAGAACAGAACAGAACGCTGAGCCAAAAGAAAAGCAGGTTAGCATTTTTTAATTATGCTTCCATTTTCATCACAAAATACATTGAACAATAATAATAAGGATACAGTATATGGGGTACAAATTATAACAAGACAATGGTAAGCTCCAAGTTTACCTGTGAAAGGAGATAGAGGAGATCAAGAGTGGAGGAATCCAGAGTGAACTTGGAAGTGAAAGTGGATGGCAGGTGCACCTTTTAGTGCTGAGGTACCTCACCTTTGTTCCATTTAAGATTTGATTAAGAAACTAAATGGTCTTTGATGCTACCTAGTGTTTCTGGGGAATTTAATGTCATCTACTCATCCAGGTCTGTTGCTCGTTCTAGGAGCTAGGCAAGCCGTTTCTCAAAGTAAGAGCTAAAGCAGTGTAAGGTCCCCTTTGTTTTATTCTGACATAGGCAGAACAAGCCTTATCGGTTCTGCTGTTTCTTCCAGATAGTCCCTTTAAAAGGCTTCGCCCACCTGGAGAGTTGTTTTCCTTCCTCATGAGTGGGGTGGTAGCAATTGCTGTCATTCCCTACCCTTCTGTAGAACAGACTGTGTTTTGTGGGGGCTAGGGGTATAGCCTGTTGGGAAACTACTTGTTTTGCATACAGAGCCCTGGGTTCAGTCCCCAAAACCACATAAAATGGAGCATGGTGGCACATTCCTTTAATCTCAGTACTCCGGAAGTGAAGGCACGAGGGTCACAAATTCAAGGTCATCTTCAGTCACAGCAAGTTCAGGGCCAACCGTGGCTAGTGCGGTAACCTTGCTCTTTCACACCTTCTGCTCGCATTTAAGGAAAGAAACGTACAAGAATCTTTGAAAAAGGTTAGCCCGGAGACTAAAAAAACTGGCATTTCACCTGTCCTGTGCTGAGATGGAAACCTAGCCTAAGAAAAGAAGATGAAGTATAAGTGAATTGGGAAACTCCAGTATTAAATATGTTCTGTTTTATATGCAAGAGTTGACACACAGGAAAAAAAGGAAACTTACTGCCATGTGCCCACAGCACAGAGTAAAGAGAATTTACCTGTCTTAGTAAAATGACATGCAGACTCTCTAGGGTTTGAATTCTGAATCTCTTGCGTGAAGTAGGAGTAAGTGAACTGTGAGATTGATTGTCCTTGCCTGTCATGCAAGTCCCAGGAAATAGCCTTCTTCCCCCTTAAAGCATCTTTCATCTGGCAAAATTAACTGCCCCAAAGCTAATTTTTTTTTCCCTTCATTTAATCATCCTTATTTTATTTTCAGAAACCTGAGAGCTCTCCTTCATTCTTTTCTCCCCCAATCTGCCTTCACTTCCTTCCATCTCCAAATGCAGTATTCTAACTCCAGAATATATCTCAGATGCATCCACTTCCTTATGTTGTCGTCTGTCTTAGTCACTGTTCTATTGCTGTGCAGAGACACTATGACCAAGGCAACTCTTATGAAATAAAATATTTAATTGGGAATTTGCTTACAGTTTCAGAGGTTTAGTCCATTAACTAACTGTTGGGTGTCGTGCAAAGATGGAAACAGACCACCGAAGTCTAGTAAACCAGAAGCAAACTTTATTCAGAAAAAAAAATTGAAAATTAAAAAAAAATAAATCTGCATGGGGCACAAAAAGCTGATCAGCTAGCTGAGACCACAGCCAGAGATGGACTTGTAAGGCTGTGGCAAAGGCCGGTTTCTGACCTCCTCCTTTTTATAGCAAAAAGCAACAAACATTAGGCAATAAAACAGAAGAATTTTTACAGTGTCAAGGTAAAACTCAGATACAAATTGCCCTTCTTTGCAATTTTCATTAACAGAGTTTTAGTTAGACTAGTGTTTGTATTTTAGGTCTTTGTTGTTCCCTGATACTCCCTGATGGTGTTTACCAAAGCTCTGCACTCCCCCTAATGCTGCCAGTTTCACGTAGCAGAGACCATGCATAACAGAAAAGTCACACACATCCCGCCCTCTAAAGGTTAATTCAGCTCATATCCATTATTGATCACGGGTGACTGGGCTGTTATTTTAGGGCTAACTCTCAGTTTGCAGAGCTGATGCTTCGGTCTTATAGACAGATGGTTTGTAAAGAAAGTAACCAGTGTTATAAGTTAATCCGTAAGCTGCTGGGAAAGCTGCTGACATCCTGCTCTCATTCTACGAGGCTTACAACTTTGCTTTCCTTATTTATACATTCTTATTTCTGGAGTCTGCATTTCTGTATTCTTATTCTTGGACTCTTCGATCATAATAGTGGGAGCATGGTGGCACACAGGCAGGCACTAGAGCAGTCGTGAAGAGCTACATCCTGATCTGTAGCTTGAGAAGGAGAACCTGGGCCTGGCATAGCTTTTAAAGCCCCAGAGCCCATCTCCAGTGACACACTTCCTCCAACACAGCTACCCCTTCTAATCCTTTCAGATAGTGCCACTAAGTGATGTAAGAGGGGAATAAGCGTTCAAATATATCAGTCTATAGGGCCGTTTGTTTTCAAGACGGGGTTTCTCTGTGTGACAGCCCTGGAACTCGCTTTGTAGACCAGGCTGGCCTCAAACTCGCAGATCCACCTGCCTATGCCTCCAGAGTGCTGGGATCAAAGGTGTGCGCCACCACCCCTAGCTTGTGGAGGCCATTCTTACTCAGACTGTCACATCATTTTACCTGGTTCTATTCCGTGCTTGATTCCTGCTTCTCTTCAGTCTTATTTTCCAAATAACAACCAGAGGCATTCACCCTGTAAACTAGTCTCATTTTTCAACCTTCAATAGTTTATTCACAGACTTAAGACCCAAACTCCCTGTCTTCAGGATCTGCATGAAAATGAACAGTCTCACCTTGCCAAGATCTTCCCACTTCTTCCTGCCATCTGCACCAGCCCATTTTGTATGACACTCATTGACTTTTCAGGTCTTTATGCCAGGGACCGTCTCCTGTCTCTGGGTCTTCGGAGGTACTGTTGTCTGTTCCTGAAATAGCATTTCCCACCTCATCCTACATAAATGTCTACCTTTGATCTCCATTTGGCTCTTTCTGATACTTTTTCTAATAGCATTCTGCTTTTCATTACATTTATCATACTACATAACATATGTGTACATCTTTATATATGTATTTGTTTATTTGTAATGATGTCACCCACAAGTTTATATTGTACACAATGGCATACTGAGTATGTTTTACTCAGTATTGCTTGCTGTACACCTAGCCTCATAGATCCATAACATATATTTGCTAGAAGAACAAATGAAAAGCCATACGTGAGCTGTAATATACTTCCCCGGTCCCTGCTTCTGAAGTCTATGTTCTCAGTATTGAGTCATTCTAAAGATGATGAAGGAAATACGTTTACATGGGCATTTGGCTTCCTTAACGTAAATTCTCAGAAGTAGAGTTGCTGGGATCAAAAGATAAGACCTTTTTTTAAAGCTCATAAAAATTTTCTGATCCTTCTTCAGAACAGTTACCCAAGTTAAATTAGTTCCTTTTTTGCTTTCTTTGTTTTGAATATGTGGAACACACAAGAGGGGAACAGTTCAGGTAAAATTTAGCATCACACTTTCATAAAATTCTTTAGGTGGGTTTTTTTTTTTTTTGGTTGGTTTGTTGGGGGTTTTTTGGTTTTTTTGTTTGTTTGGTTGGTTGGTTGGTTGGTTGGTTGGTTGGTTGGTTGGTTTTTCTAGACAGGGTTTTTCTGTAGCTTTGGAGCCTGCCCTGGAACTAGCTCTTGTAGACCAGGCTGGCCTTGAACTCACAGAGATCCACCTCTGCCTCCCTAGTGCTGGGATTAAAGGTGTGTGCCACCACTGCTCCTTTAAAATTCATTTCTTGAAACCTGCTTTTGTACCACAGGTGGCATTCTATCATTCCCTCCTTATGTGGAAAGTATTGTCTCATTGCTGAAGATGAGGTAACACAGCTGAGAAAGTTATAGATTTGCTCAAGTTCCTGCAGCCAGGCTGCTCATGTCAAGACAGTTTATGCTGACCTTCATCACTCCCTGGTCCAGTTGTCCAAAAGTGATGACCCTTCTGTGTCACCTGATCCAGCCTTTGGCTTCCCCGCTGCCACATTCCTGTGAAAATGCTGCCCACCTTTCTTGCTTCCCTGCCCTATGATGCCAGTGGTTAGGTGCCCTGTCTCTCTGACAGACCCCTAAAGGGGCTCTGCCTCAGCAGACTCTCCAGATAGTTCACACTTGAGTCTCATCTTGTCTTTGCATGGTGGAATAAATAAACAATCAAACAAATAAATAAATGACCCATTTCTTCCCTTTATAATCCCCACTCCCAGTTTACAGGGGTAGTCCGTTTGGATCATGCATTGTAATAGGCCCCTAACTAAATAATAATCATATAAAAAGCTTGCATCCTACCCCTGTGGATTCTTGGTTTTGAATTCTTAAGGCTTGAAGCTATATAGTTGGAGAAAGGTGAATTTTCTGTGTTAGGCTGCACATGTTCACCCAGGTCTGTGTCTCCCTCCTCCTCTCCCTACCTCCTCCCGGCAAAAAGATAGAACTTCCTACCAGATCAGGGTTTGGTAAAGCAGAATGCCTGCTTGATATTTATCCCTCTTTTTTTTTTTTAATATTTTTTAGGGTTTATTTAACTTTATTTTATGTGCATTGGTGTGAAGGTGTCAGATCCCCTGCAACTAGATCTTCAGACAGTTGTGAACTGCCATGTGGGTGCTGGGAATTGAACCCGTGTCCTCTGAAGAGCAGTCAGTGCTCTTAACCACTGATCTATCTCTCCAGCCCCAATATTTATCCCTCTTAATAACTCCTTTAATTTCTCTTAACCTTTCAGGCTCTCCCTGCTTGTCCTATCCAGGCCACCTGTGAGGCAGCCTCCAAGGAGGAAAACAAGGAAAAAAATCGATACGTAAACATCCTGCCTTGTGAGTGTTTGCAGGGTTTCTTGGAATGTGTTCTGAAACTACATCTCTAGATTCTTTGAGGATGGGAAGAATCTTGGGGTTGGTAACAGGAGGGCAAAAAGAAGAATGTGTTCCCCCATTCCCCAGGCAACCTCACAGTCAGGAAGGACTAAACTATGGATCACAGTTTTGCATGCCTGTTTCTGAAGACCAGGCAGGGCAGCTTCATGGGACCAGGCAGAAAGTAGGTTATGTAGTTTGTTTGTTTGATACATGCACGCACGCGTGCGAACACACACACACACTACTCAAACTGTAATACAAAGTTCTCTTTCTAGCTGTAAGCCAGGGCACAGTGAAGCCACGAACTAAACCACTCCATTGGTAGAAAGGAAGGTTATCGGTGACTCAAACTGCCAACGCAGTCTCAGGTTCAGAGAAAACAGTAAGAGCCAGAGAAGCCTTACCAGTTCTAAGGGAAGCCGGTAGTGCTGGAGGGGGCCTGGGAGTCAGGACAGCCTGGGAGTTAGTGGAGTGGGAGGTAGGGTGTGGCTACAGCAGCCTGGGGACTAGGGTGGGGTCTGTGATCTAGTACAGGCTTATTTGAGTTAATGCAGAACTAGTTGCCCATTGCCAGAGGTAGTTGGTTGTAGGGATCAGATAATGGCTTTTCTTAACAGAAACCAACTCACAAGGTTTCTGAGGAGGGCTGAGCTTCAGTAGCAGGCCTGTTATCTCAGACATTGTCAACAGCATTGCCATTTGGGGGCCCGCTTTTACAGTAATCGTAAATTTAAAAAAAGAATGGGAGGGTTGAAGGGGAAGGGGAGAGGCAAGGAAGGGGACAGAGAAACATGTTGAGCTCAATAAAAATCAATTTTAAAAAATTGAGACAGGGTTTTCCTATGTAGCCCTGGCTATTCTGAAACCTACTGTATAGACCAGGCTGGCCTCAAACTCAGATCTACCTACCCCTGCCTACTGAGTGCTAAGACTAAGTAACACTTTTAAAGGGGAAGTGTTGGAGGCAGCAAGAAAACTCAGAGGGTAAAGGCATTTGCTGCCAAGCCTACTGACCCGAATTCAATCTCTAGAACCCTCATCACAGAGGAGAGATTTGACTCTTATATTGTCTGCTGAATTCCACAAGTACAACCACTTATGCACATATGCAGATGCATACAAATAAATGTTTAAAAAAATGTTTTGGGAGGGCTGAAGAAATGGCTCAGAGGTTAAGAGCACTAGCTGTTCTTCCAGAAATCCTGAGTTCAATTCCCAGCAACCATCTATAATGAGATCTGGTGCCCTCTTCTGGAGTGTAGACATATATGCAGGCAGAACTGTTTTGGACAATCAAAAAGCTAGGTGTTTATTCCTATAAACCTAACTCATGCGAGGCTGAAGCGGGAGGATTGCCATTGAGTTCAAGGCAGTCTAGACTACAGTTAACCTGAGCTACCAAGTAAGACTGTGTAAAAGCAATAACACAACAAACAAAAAGCAGAAAACCAAGTGGTGGGGGTCCATGCCTTTGATCCCAGCACTCAGGAAGCAGTCAGATCTCTGAATTGAGGCCAGTCTTTCTACAGAGTAAGTTCCAGGACAGCCAGCCAGTGCTACACAGAGAAACCATGTCTCAGAAAAACCAGACAAAATCAAAAAACACTTATATACCATGTCTCAATCACATAGACACAGGTATCTGGGCTAATCTGCTTCAGTAAGAAACAAAACTGGATCTATTGAAATGTGAACTTCTTGTTTTTTTCTAGATGACCACTCTAGAGTACACCTGACACCAGTTGAAGGGGTTCCAGATTCTGATTACATCAATGCTTCATTCATTAATGTAAGGAACTTGTTCTCTTCTTGTTTATCCCAGGAAAAGCTATTAGCTGTCATCTGTTGATTCCACCGTAACAAATCTGATTTTTTTAAGTAGCTAATTCTTTTTCTCTAATTCTTTTTTTAATATTGGGTAATTTAAAATAGATCTTTTGTTGATTCTCTCATCATTTCCTAAGGTTTCCAGTACAGAAATCTGAGTCTAGTTGTATATTTCTATGAACCCTTTTTTGATCATTTCAAATGCTACAAACAAAAGCATGCTTTACCCTCAGTAGTAAAAATATGGGAGAACAAGACAAGAAAACCTGCTGCCAGGAAAGTCTGGCTGATGGGTCCAGGGCACTGTGAGTCAGGGCCGGAGGGAAGAGAAATAGTCGCAGGACCCTGAGTGGTGGAGCAGACAGCAGGAGTTGAAATCTACTTTCTGGGGAACACAGGGTTATCTCACCTAATAATCACAGCCATTGACACACGACAGGAGACTCCAGGCTAGAGTAGAGCAGCTAGCTCCTCTCTGTCTTTAGAGGCCTGAGGGCACATAAGTCTTCAAAGTGTTTCTCTCTACTGGGAAGAGTGTAGATTCCACCTATAGAACTAGCTTGGGCTCATGGTTCAGGGTTCAGAAACCAGAGATAATGAAGGAGCTAAGGAGCCAGGTTTTATCTATCCTTCCCTTTCCTTAGTAGTTTTGCCCTTTTTTTTTTTTTTTTTGGTTTTTCGAGACAGGGTTTCTCTGTAGCTTTGGAGCCTGTCCTGGAACTAACTCTTGTAGACCAGGCTGGCCTCGAACTAACAGAGATCTGCCTCTGCCTCCTGAGTGCTGGGATTAAAGGCGTGCACAACACTGGCTAGTTTTGCCTTCTGTTATGCTTTATTTGATTAGGTGATCACTAGGCACTCTTTCATGGAGGTAACTTGTAGGAAACACTCTGGGGCTGGCTTCCATATCCATGTATATGTCTGTGTTTATTTTTTTAAGCTCTCCGTGTTCCTTGGGAATTTAACAGTGGCTTTTTATGAAGCCAGGAGCATGATGTCCTTAACATGTTTCTTAAGAGCTCATCAGTTTTAATTACACGTTCAGAACTGAAGCAGAATTGAGCATCCTAAATTAAGTCTATCTTGATTTTCATGTTGTAATGAAGATTAAAAACATTTTTGGAGGGCTAGAGAGATGGGTCAGCCAACCAAAGGCCAGGGTCACAACCAAAAATATAGAAGCATTTCTGAAAACTAAATTCCTGTTCTCAAAGTTTTAAGAAGCCTGCTGTTGCTGACTTTAAATGCTTCCTTCTCTGCTAGGAAGCAACTCTGCTGCTCTTGTTTGAACTAGAATAGGAAATGACTTCTCAGATTTAGGTCCTTTGATTTCACCACCACCTTGGTGTGACCTGATGTCCCCGCAAACCTGCTTCCCATTGCCCATTTTACTGCCGTTTGCACAGAGAGAAAAGAAATCCCTGTCAGTATGAGTCTCCCAGAGGCTCCTTATCTGTTTCGATGGGATCCCCAGTCTCCTTTGCTTCTTGTCGCCTACTGACTGATGGAGGAGCTCATTGTCAAGCATGGCTGTTTTTGAAAAAAGTTTTTACATCTGACTAAAGCATCCTCAAGAAAAAAAAAAGCTTTATCCTTCCCAGTTCCAGCCCAACTCCATCCCTGGAACCACCTTATACGCTCTGCTTGGAAGCTCTTACCCCATTAACACTAAAGCCCACATTGTTGGCTACTGGTAAAACATCAGAAATGGTCTAGACCAGGGGTTAGTCTTTGGATACTCTCCAAGAATTCACCTTGAGAAGACCTACCTAGACCATTTGAATTTTTAGCCTTTGATTCTTCTCTCCAAAGCTAACCCTTTCTGGGATTTCTGTAATGGAAATTTTTGTGAATTGCCTAGACTTTTACAGGGGAGGCTTTGTTGACTGGCTGAGAGGCCGACTGGAGATTATCATTCCTGCCAACTTTTGGGTTTCACTTTTCTTTTTCATCCTTTCCCACCCAGGGCTACCAAGAAAAGAACAAATTCATTGCTGCACAAGGTAATGACAATTTTTTTTCTTCTTGGTCTCAACCACAATCCCATAGTGGGTTGAGGGTGTGGGATTTTGCCCAAATACTAAATGAAATAATAAAAATACAGTAGCTTTTCGCTAATTATTACCACCTAAAAAAAATATAAGGGGCTGGGGGAATAGCACAGTTGGTGAAGTGGTTGCTGCACAACCATGGAAACCTGAGTTTAGAGTCCTAACACTTGCATTAAAATGCATGAGCACATGGACCTGACCCCAATGCTGGAGAGGCAGAGACTGAAGAATCCTAGGCTCACTGGCTAGCCAGGCTATCTGGTTAACAGACTCTGAGTTAGTGAGAGAGTGTCTTCAAAAAACTAAGATGGAGAGCAATTGAGGAAACCTTAATAGGCAACACATGCACCTCTACAGGAATATGTACTTGCGCGCGCACACACACACACACACACACGCACAACATGAACATGCATACTCTCATACACAGAATGCATCTTGCAGGTTTACAACCTGTGACATACATCTTGATGACTTAGTATTGAAAGGTCCTATTTTTAAAAACTCCTTCGAAGCTGGAGAGATGGCTCAGGTTCAGAGCGCTGGCTGCATTGGCACACACATGCTGTGGAATACATGTGAAGGGCAGAGGACAACTTCCAACTGTTGTTTCTTCTACTCTGGTCCCAGATACGAGTTTGGCCTCAGGCACCTTTACCCACTGAGCTCTCTTGATGCCTCCTGAGGTTTGTTTTAAGTACATTTGAGGAGTTTCTTAAAACTTCAGTTCCATAGCAGATCCAGTGTCCCTAACCCCTGGTGGTTTGGTTGCAAATACTTCTCTTTACTACACCCTGAGAATTCTTCTAGCCTCTCTGCTGCTAAATCTCATCTTTCTCTCATTGTATACAGCTTCGTTTTTGTTTAAAAACTTCTTATGGTTTTCTGAGAAAGGCTATATGGGAAGTAAATTTGAGTTCCAGCCTGAGCATGTCGCTCCACCTTTCTGGGATTGATGACACTCACTCCAGAGTATAACAGAACAGAGTAAATGTCATAGCTAGTACGTGGCTTATTGTCTAGATTATTCAGTAAGCAGGCATGACTTTTAATCCTTAACCCTTAGAAAATCACTGTGTTCTTTCCTATTTGCAAGCCTCCTGCCCACAATCCTAGTGAAATGTTTGGTACATACATGGTAGATACATGGGAAATATTCAGTTAACAGGTAGATGAATGGATAAATAGGGTGGGTGTTCCCCTGAAGATAGGTAGACACAGAATTCCAAAAGTCAGGATGAGTATTCTCGGTTTCCTCGCATTGTTTTTCCTCTTCTAATCTTCACTCTTGGCTCCTTTAGGACCAAAAGAAGAAACGGTGAATGATTTCTGGAGAATGATCTGGGAACAAAACACAGCTACCATCGTTATGGTGACCAACCTGAAGGAGAGAAAGGAGGTAAGATGAAAACTGAGAAGCAGTCAAATCGGGTAGAGAGTCTGCTCTGCTGGAGCTCTAAACTGGAGCCTTGCTACTTTCTTTTTGTGGTTACTGTAGATCATCCACAGGCTAATGTGTCTCTTCCTGTAGCCTCAGAGGAAACCTCAGAGGAATCTCAGGGCCGGGGATAGTGGTGTCTGGTGTTGAAACAGCTCATTCTAGTTCCAGAGTAACCAGGAAGGAAGAAGTGGACCATTAGCTAGAAAAGGAAACAGACTTTCCCCTTGCCTTCTCTAGTCCCTCATCCCCTCAGTTTTTTGCAGTATACCCTCTAGCTGATAGAGGGAGCCGAGTAAACTAGCAGAGCCTCTGATAAGGGTGTGGCCAGCAGGAGTACAATGAATCTGAAGCCTGCACCAAGTCCTCTGGCAGCTTCTAACAGCTTCTTTTTCCTTTGTGGCCTGATCAGCTCTATAGCTGGGCCATAGCCAGCACCAAACCTGGGTGTCTGGGTGTCTCAGTCACTGTTCTATTGCTGTGAAGAGATACCATGACCTTTTATAAGCATCTCTTATAAAAGGAAGCATTTTTGGTTTTGTTTTTAAGATTTATTTATTTTTTTATTTTATGTGCATTGGTGTTTTGCCCACATGTGTGTCTTTGAAGGTGTCAGAGCCCCTGGAACTGGAGTTATAGACAGTTAACTGTGGGTGCTGGGAATTGGACTCAGGTCTTCTGCCATGGCTCAGTGGTAAGAGCACTGACTGCATTTTTAATTGGAGCTTGCTTATAGTTTCAGAGGTTTGGTCCATTACCATCATGGTGGCACACAGGCAGATGTGTTGGTGGAGAAGTAACTGATAAGTTCTTCATCTGGATCTGCAGGCAGCAGGAGGCCTGGCTTCAGGTTCAGAAACTTGAAAGCCCACCCCAGTGACATGCTTCCTCCAACAAAACCACACCTACCCCAACATTGCCATACTTCCTAGTCCTCAAGTAATGCTGCTCCCTGGTGACTAAGCATTCAAATACATGAGCCTGTTGAGGCCATTCTTACTCAGGTCCACACTGGACCATAGGTCAGCCCACAGAGACGAATCTTCATTCATGACAGTCTTTCTCAAGGATGGGCCTTCAGTCACCTTGACCTGTTGTGAGATTTGGGGTGTACTGCCCAGCAGCTCCACAGTGCATAGAAAGGTAGTTTGAGGCTAGCAGTGGTGGCATATGCCTTTAATCCCAGCACTCAGGAGGCGGAGGCAATGACAGGTAGATCTCTGTGATTTAGAGGCCAGCCTGGTCTACAGAGTGAGTTCCAGGACAGCTAGGGCTACACAGAAAAACCCTTTCTCAAAAAAAAGTATTAAAAAAAAAAAAAGGAAGAGTGGTTTGGGGTGGATTTTATGTTAGTATGCTCTAAGCAGACCGTTAGCTCTTGGAAGCTGTTAGAACTTGGTCAACAGGAAGACCTTGGTTTTACCACAAACCAATAATCCGTGTGGGTGCTGTGTGGTAGCTCTGTCACAGCAAACTGCCAATCCCCTTTCACACAGGCTTGCCCCTAAGGCCTGACCTGGGAGATTGTGGAAGTTCAGATTTTGCAGATAAAACAGTTTCCAGTTTGCCTTGAACTGGGGGTAGGAGTGGAAAATATGTGCAGGTCTGTGACTGAGGCTGGGTATAGTTGAAGAGAGTGAGTTACAGGCACTAAACCTTTAGCTGACGTAGGTGACAGAGGAGATACAGGCTTTATGAATCCTTTCTCTCGGTTCCCTTACATCTGCCAGGACAGTCTTGCATGAAAGATGTGTGTCTGCTTTCTTTATAGTGTAAATGTGCCCAATACTGGCCAGACCAAGGCTGCTGGACCTACGGGAATGTCCGTGTGTCTGTTGAGGATGTGACTGTGCTGGTGGATTACACAGTACGGAAATTCTGCATTCAGCAGGTACAGTCTTCTGCCCCCCTTTCCAGGCGTTTGAGAAGGATCTGCTGACTGTTGAGAGGTGGGAAGGTCTGGGTGTCAGGAATTGCCCAGTATACAATCTCTGTGGGTCCTGACCTGCAGGAACTTCTCTGTCACAGCTAAGTGAACAGTATTTTTATGACTGGTAGGACCTGTGCAGGTGAAATTTGATCACCTTGAATGTCACCAGACAGTGTAGAGAGAAGCTTCAGGAAGTGGAGTAGTCTGAGTGTTGTGTTCATTCCTCTAAATACCTCTACCTCCAGGGGTGTAGTGTGACTATTGTAAGCCTTCCAGAGTGACCCGGGGCCTGAGCTCTGGAGTTAGGGGTTGGGGTGCTGTAAAAGAGGACTTATCAAGAATCAGGAGCCCTGCTGGCTGTGGGAGTACATCGCAGCAATGAGAGGCAGAGGCAGAGGCAGGACGCTCTCTGACTAGGAGGCAAGCCTGATCTACAGAGTGAGATCCTGTCCAAAAAGGAAGAAGAAAAGAACTAGGAGCCCCACATTGTGTCTCTAACCCTGCTGTTTCCTGTAATAGTTCTGGGGCTTAGGCCAGGTCATTTAAGTTCTCTGAGTTTCACCTTCATTTGTAGCCCAAGAAAATAGCAGTTCAGCCTGCTGTGTGGGAGGATTCTCCATCTGTGATTAGTGCCTCTCTGAGTCCTCCTCACTTTCCCGTCATCCTGACAACCACTCTTAACCTTCCCTACCCTTGTGCTGCCCTCCTCTGGTTATCAAAACAAACACACAGAATCTCCTCACTTCACAGGTGGGCGACGTGACCAACAGAAAACCACAGCGCCTCATCACTCAGTTCCATTTTACCAGCTGGCCAGACTTTGGGGTGCCTTTTACCCCAATTGGCATGCTCAAGTTCCTCAAGAAGGTGAAAGCCTGTAACCCTCAGTATGCAGGGGCTATCGTGGTCCACTGCAGGTCAGTGTGGCCTGACCCTTGCCCACTTTCTGCCCCCTCGGACAGAGCAAGGGAACAGCACAGGGGCCCTGACCAAGGAGGCTGACACAGAAGAAATGCATAGCTGGGACCCCAGGCTGCAGTCAGAGAGAATCTTCAAATTCTAGTCTGGGGTAGAAAATGTGATCTGTGGAAAGACAGGAGTTAGGCAACTCACTATGGTTCTAAAATAACAGTGGAGGAAGACTTGAGCCAGAGCCTGTGTCTTACCTGTAGGAGCCGTATTTGTAGTCATGGGAGAATTTGTTCACTGCTCCCCATTATTTTCAGCATATACTCCTGGCAGTGCATGAAGTAAATTTACTTTGCTATCAACTTGTTGGAAAGTTAAAGCACCTTCCTTCCTAGTAGGGCAGCTCTCCAAGACTAGGAATGGAGACTCAGCTGGGAAGCCAAGCAACTAGGTCAAGTGCTGGCTCTGTACCCTTGCCCCTTGCAACCCTTATAAGTATCAGGGTACCCAGGCCCTGATAGCAGAGACCAGGAGTTCTAGCACAGTAGGATTATTGGCTTGAGGGCAGTGCCAGTTCTACCCCATTGGGAATTAAAATTTAGCTGCCTGTAGAAAGCCTGAGGCTGTGCCACCCTTCCCTGTCTGCCCCCACAAGTTACTCCTGGCCTCATCCACTAACCCCTTGCTCTGGCTACAGTGCAGGTGTAGGGCGCACTGGTACATTTGTTGTCATCGATGCCATGCTGGACATGATGCATTCAGAGCGGAAAGTGGATGTCTATGGTTTTGTGAGCCGGATCCGGGCCCAACGCTGCCAGATGGTACAGACAGACGTGAGTGATCCGTGGGCAGGGCAAGGGAAGGACTTTCTAATGCCAGGACATCTGCCTACTCTGAGGACTCCAGTTCACATAAACATCACGTAGTGTGTATACATGTGCATGTACACGTGCTTGTAATACGGAATACATGTGTTGGTCAGAGGACAAAGTGCAAGTTAGTTCTTTCTTTCTGTCACATGTTTAAAGAAACCAAGCATGGGAGCTGGAGAGGTGATTTACTAGTTGCTCTTCCAGAGGGCCCAGGTTTAGTTTCCAGCATCCACTTGGCAGCTAAACAGCCATCTATAATTCCAATTCCGGAGATTCAACACCCTCTTTTGGTGGTGTATGTATAAACACATGGTACTTATACATACATGAGACAAAACACTCACACACATAAAATCAATAAAAATGTTTAAAAAAATAAAATCCCGGGCATGGTGGTGGCACACACCTTTAATTCCAGTACTTGGGAGGCATAGGTAGGCAGATCTCTGAGTTTGAAGCCATCCTGGAAGTGAGTTCCAAGACAGTTAAGGCTGTTACACAGAGAAACCCTATCTTGAAAAAAAAAAAAAAAGAAATGAAAGATAAAGAAATAATGCATAGAGGAGGAGGTTGTAGCTTTATGGCTGGGAGAAACACGAAGGAAACTGTTATTTCCACTGGACCTTATGGATAAGGGGATAGATTTTAATGAATGCAGGCATGCCAGGGACTTCAGTCATGATGCAGCCAAGTCCAAGAGCAAAAGTGAGATGGATCTGTGGTCATGGCACAGATGTGGGGTGGAGGCAGGCTGGAGTCAAAGGCCTTGCAGACTTTCACAGCCTACATGTGTGGCCAGTTTCTGACAGACTCTGGAATCTGGCAGTCCAGGACCCTGTCTCCCAAGCTAAGCACCCCCAGGGGAACTCATGCATTTCGAGTTCTGCTTCACTGTGTTAGGACAGTGTGAATGAATCACTTTGTCCCTGCCAAAATCAAAGGAAAAGTAGACTGAGTAAAGAAGGCACTAGAAGTGACCTGGTGCCACCAGGGCCATGCTGTTTGTGACTCAGGCTTCTGTATGATCTTTATTTCAGATGCAATACGTCTTCATATACCAGGCCCTTCTGGAGCATTATCTGTATGGGGATACAGAACTGGAAGTGACTTCTCTGGACACCCACCTGCAAAAAATTTATAACAAGATCCCAGGAACTAGCAACAATGGATTAGAAGAAGAGTTTAAGGTGAGTTGAAGCTGGGCAACCTCCAGACTAAAGGAACCACACAGCTGGAAAAAACAATCTAGGAAAAATGTTAATTTTCTGTGTACCACAGCTAGTGATAGTTGAATGGTCAGAACTGTACAGTCTTGCTTGTTAGAATCACTTGAATTGTCTTTAAGGAAAATGAATAGAAAACAGTATTTCTTTAAGTCCCTCAGCATTCCTAGATGATTATAATGTATAGCAATGTAAAGGCCAGATAAAAAGTCTTTTGGGCTGGGCATTGGTGGTCCATGCCTTTAATCCCAGCATTTGGGGGATAGAGGCAGGCGGATCTCTCTGAGTTTGAGGCCAGTTCCACTCTCATCAGTCTCATCAAGAAGTACTCCAAAAGGCTGGCATGGTTTTTATTTGCAGTGGAGACAAGGGGATCTCTATGAGTTTGAGGCCAGCCCTATCTACAGAGCAAGCTCCAGGACAGTCAGAGCTATGTAAAAAGACCCTGTCTCAAAAAAAGGTGAAGAAGCACTGATGCCTAAGCTGAGCCTAGGAATGCAGGCCTATAATTACAACTATATGAGAAGCTGAGGCAGGACAAATACAGGACTCTTATGTCATTTTAAAAATGGAATGGAACCAGGAGTGGTGGTGCACTCCATTAGTCCCAGCACTCAGGAGACAGAGGCAGGTGGATCTCTGTGAATTGGAGGCCCCCCTGCTCTACATAGTAAATTTCAAAACAGGCCGGGCTGTGTAGAGACCCTGTCTGAAAAGAAAAGGTAATATGGTGTGTTCTCAGAGGCCAGGGGCAGACAGTGGGTGTGCAGAGAACCATTCACTTACAGCAGTCCTTAGTGCACTGCAGTGTGCTTGATTGTTGATGTGTGGGCTACTCAGTAGCAGGAACCAGAAGCAAGCTTAAGGGCTGGGGAGACAGTTTTGTGGGCAAAGCGCATGCTGCACAAGCACGACGACCCCGGTTTAGATGTTCAGTACCCGTGTGAAAATTGGGCATGGTGGCATGTGCCTGTGACCCCACTACTGGGAACAGAGGTGAGGAAGGGGGCAGTCTCTGGCCACACAACCAACAGCATACTCCAGATTCCATGAGAACGCTGTCTCAAAAAGTAAGGTAGGGAGTGATAAGGTAGGACGCCCAGCGTCAGCCTCTGGCCTCTATATGCACACACATGGAACACCCTTACACACAAGGAAACAACCTCAGAACCTGGAAGGAATAATAAAGTTTGAATATTTTTCTAAATGGCAGGAGAGTGGCCCAAAAATTCAAGGCCAGAGGAGTCTCAGAAGGTTCCACAGGAGCCTAGAAGGCATTGCTTTTCAAATACTTTTGACTTCTTACAAAACTTAAAGATGGGAGAATTACATGTAGATAGGGAGATAGAGCAGTACAGGGAAGAGGAAATGCAGTCAGGGGACCTGGCAGAATAGTCCCAGTGAGTAGCAAGAGTCTTCTCGGATTCATTTGCTGGGAATAATAGTGTCTCACTTCTTACTTCATTCAGAAGTTAACTTCAATCAAAATCCAGAATGACAAGATGCGCACTGGAAACCTTCCAGCCAACATGAAGAAGAACCGGGTTTTACAGATCATTCCGTGTAAGCACCCCTCCCCACCTGAGTCTTACTGCTCCAGCCCCGTTTCCTGCACTACTCCAGCTCTGAGTGCAGTGATTGACCTGAAGCCAAGAGTCACAGCACTGCCTCTTGTTCCTCGAAGTGGTTTTAGGAAATAAAAAGCATAAAAGCCAAAGAAACATTGATATCTGTGCCCCACTGCCTTGTGAGGTTGGTCAGGGAGTGAACGTTGGTAAGATGCAAGCAAGCCATTCACTGTCCTCCTTGCAGATGAATTTAACAGAGTAATCATTCCAGTCAAACGCGGTGAAGAGAACACAGACTATGTGAACGCATCCTTCATCGATGTAAGTGATGGGTATGTCCCCTGAATCTGTCCCTTGGGGCTTCTAGTACCTCCCCACATACCTGCTTGAGAAAAACATCTTTAAGTTGATCAACAGCTACTGAACTCACTCCCACCTGCCCACCTGTACTAGGTCTGTCCATCCACAAAGAACAGCATGTAAAGGAGACGTCCTACATATTTCTAGACAAGAACCTTATAACATAGCTGTGTCCACAAATCTAAGACTGATCTAATCTTTCCTGTTTCCACTGTCTTCCTCCTAACTCCGTCCCCCTGCTTCCCTTCCCCTGGTATGATCCTGGGTCAGAGAGCTCGTTCTGGAATCCCTGTGCCTCTAGGCAGTCCCTGTCACTTGTCTTTTACACTCACCCCTCCTTGACCAACCTCTGTAATTAACCTGACATTCAGGGCTACCGGCAGAAAGACTCCTACATTGCCAGCCAGGGCCCTCTTCTCCACACAATTGAGGACTTCTGGCGAATGATCTGGGAATGGAAGTCCTGCTCCATCGTAATGCTCACAGAACTGGAAGAGAGAGGCCAGGTGAGCTCAAGAAGACCCCTGGGCTATGAGAAACAAAAAGGTTGGGGGCAACTATAAGGTATACCTGGGTCTTTCTTTAACCATGTCCTGGCATATCAGTAGGCCGGTGGTATCTAAGCAGTTCTCAGCTTCTCCCAGGACTGGAGAAGCAGAGAAGCCTGAACTTCCAGTTGTTTCCAGACATTTCCCACCATTTCACTTTTCTACCCTCTCCAGCCTCTCAGACTAGCCTTTACACACACCCTCTCCATCCGACCTCCAGGTAGTGCAAAGCCGGTGGAAAAGAAGTATAGCCAGGCCAGGGCTTTGAAGTAGACATCTCTGAATGTCTTTAACATAGGCTCATGAAATTTAAGAAATATAAAGTAATAAAAGTAATAAAAATAAAAAGGCGGATCTCTGTAAGTTCGAGACCAGCCTGGTCTACAGAGCTAGTTCCAGGACAGGCTCCAAAAGCCACAGAGAAACCCTGTCTCAAAAAAATAAATAAATAAATAAATAAATAAATAAATAAATAAATAAATAAATAAAATAATTTGAGCCAGATATGGTGGTGTGCACACTTTTAATCCCAGTACTGTGGAGGCAGAGGCAGGAGAATCTTTATGAGATTGAGCAAGTTCTAAGCCAGCCAGGGCTGCATAATGAGACCCTGTCTCAAAAACAATTAAAACTAAAAAAATATATCAAGGGATTTCCTCAGGACTAAGGACAAGAATAGAGAATGGCCCCAGCACAGGGCCAGCAGCTTTAGAGCACATACTTAAGGTTGTGTCTTTTTAAAGGAAAAAGACATAAAACCAGTTTAAAAGTAGTATTGTCTGATGTTCCAACTATACAGAGACCTCAGTGTAGGAAATTGCTCCCCACTCTATTCCTGATCATACAGCCTCTACAGGGCATCCCTTATTTCAGGCTGAGTTCCCATAGTGCTTATGTTTTGAAGCCTCTTTGCATCAAGGTTGTGCACTGTAGTAAATAGGTGATTTTCTGTGTATCTCTTAGCAGGGATCAGAATCATTAGAGTGAGCCTAGAGAAGCTAGTGTGACCTGGTAGCAGTTATGTCTAAGCTACAGTAAAGAGTTAGGACTGTATACCAAAGTAAAGAGCCTTTGAAATGTTGGAGCTACTTGCTGCACAATCGAGAAGACCAGCTTTGGATCCCAGCACCCATGCAATAAACCAGGAATTCTGCACAGTTCTGTAACCCTGCCTCCAGTGGGGAGTCAGGATTGCTGGGGCTTTCTGGTTTCCATCCCCACTGAGAAAGCCTGGGTTCAGGGAGAGGCCTTGCCTCAAAAGAATAAGAAGTAAAAGGACACATGATGCCCTTCTTCTGGCCTCCTCCTGTGCACACTTATATATGCACAAAAACACTGTTAATATTTTTTTTTAGAAAGTGTTTTTGACAAATCTAATTTTTATATCTCTTATAAAAGCCCTCTGGGGTTAGTAAGATGGCTCAGTGGATAAAGGTGCTTGCCACTAAGCCTAACTACCTGAGTTCTGTCCCCAAGCCCCACATGGTGAAAGGAGAGAACTGACTTCTACAAGTTGTTCTCTGCCTCCATGTGCACCCCATGCACCCATGTGGAATACAGTATATGAATAAGTACTCTTTTATAAGCAGAACTCTTTACCCTGGCAAGGCAGCACACACTTAATCCCAGCACGTGGGAGGCAGATATAAGAGAATCATCACTCACCAACTCTGAACCCATCCTGTGAAGAGATGCTGTGACCATGACAGCTCGTATAAAGGAGAAAAACATTTAGTTGGGGTGGCTTACATTTTCAGATGTTTAGTCCATTATCATGGTGGCATGCAGGCAGATTCTGGAGAGGAAGCTGAGAGTTGTACATCTTGAGCAGGCAACAGGAAGTGGTCTGAGACACTGGGCGTGGATTGAGCATGTATGAGACCAAACTCCCATACCATCTTAAATAAGTGCACTATTCCCCTGTTTGCTCTTGTCACAAGTCTAGAGCTGCCGTCCTCCCACCCTTCCACGTTGAGTCTGCTGGTGTGTCCTGATAGCTGCTGAGCATGCCCCCTTTCCTGACATGGTGAGGTACAGGCATGTGGGACAATAGTGATGCCTCCTGTGCATCCTGCCAGCATAGGGCCTCACCTCAGGTAGCCTGACATCACTCTGTCTGTGTCCTGCCCAAACCTTAGTTCTTCATTTGGCAGCCAAGCATTGCCTTTTTGAAAATTATAAATGTACACATGTCACTCCTTATCTTAAAGTCCTGCTTGAGTTTGTAGAGATCTTACGAAAAATACCCATGTGTGTACAATTTAGGAGTGTGGAGTGGTGACAAATAGTTCCCAAACTTGGGTTCTCCCTCCTCACCTCACTGGTTTGTTTATAGGCCAGATCTCATGTGTCTCAGGATGAGCTCTATAGACAGAAGTCTCTGCTCTGCCCAGTCCCAAATAAACACACGGAGGTTTATATTAATTAGACAGTTTGGCCTATTGCTCAGGTTTTTTACTAAATAGTTCTTACAACTCAAATTAACCCATAATTCTTATCTATGTTTAGCCACGTGGTTTGATACCTTTTCTCAGTAAGGCATTCTCATATTGCTTTCTCTACGTCTGGCAGGTGTCTCTGCCTTTCTTCTTCCCAGAATTCTCCTAATCTAGGCATCCCGCCTATACTTCCTACCTGGCTACTGACCAATCAGCATTTTATTAAACCAGTAAAGTGACAAATCTTTACAGAGTACAAGAGCATTACCTCACAGCAAGCCTCACGGCCACTGTAAAGCCAAGGATAACCTTGAATTTTTGATTTTCCTGCCCTACCTCTGGAGTTCTGGGGTTACAAGTGTACACCACCATGACTAGTTTTTTTTTTTTTTTTTTTTTTTTTTCTATTAGGGAATAAACCCAGGGCTTCAAATACACTCAATAATAGTGAGCCCTTGTCTGGGGAGGGTGTGGGTGAGAAGAAAAAGCAGGAATTCTGGGAATGTGCGCCATTCCTGGCCTGTCCCAGGCTTACTTCACTCTTCTGCTCTCCGCGTCTTCTTTGTGTCCTCTGTTGGCCTAGTCACCAGCTTTGTTTTCATATCTCCATCCCAGCAAGATCCCTAGGTGTCTTTAGCCTGGGCCTCCTAGATTCTTGTTGTTCTGCTTTGTTGGTTTTTTTTGAGACAGGGTTTCTCTGTGTAGCTTTGGAGCCTGTCCTGGAACTTGCTTTGTAGACCAGGCTGGCCTTGAACTCACAGAGATCCTCCTACCTCTGCCTCCCAAATGCTGGGATTAAAGGCGTGCACCACCACTGCCCAGCTCCCTAGATTCCTTAGGCTCATGTTTTACCCCCTAAGAAAGGTCCTTGCCCCTTGAATCAGAGCAGAGTCACCCCAGTAGATCCCTGATCTGAAGCTCCCCTTTGCCTTCTGTCAACTCCCAGCAGCCACTAAAATGCAGCTGCTGTAACAACTGTCACCATCACCCTCCCACAACCAAGAGGCCGCCTCTAATAGACCCTCTTTCTCTAGGAGCATTTAACTTTGTTTCTTTCGTGCTGATCTCTGATTTTTTATTGTTGTTGTTGAGCCCACATGGAGAGCTAAATGAATGAAGAATCCTTTTACTTTCACCACGTGAGGAATGCCTAAGTGAAGATAATCCCCTTACATCAGTCTCACCCTATAATAATGCCTCTTCTTAACATTCATTAAATCCTACTCCCATCAAGCTACCAGATTTATTTCAATGAGTGCACCTTACCCACTTCCCTGTAATAGCTTTTGTCATCTTGAAGCTGATCCTATAGCGTGAATCTGCCCCCCAGGTCAGTCAGAACCAAATGAAACCACTTTAACCCATTACTCCCATTAGCCAGCTGGAAGAGGCTTCATTTTTGCTGTTTCCATCCCCCTCCTTACCTTACCTTGACAGGGCCTCTTATCTTCTGCCCTCTACCCCTGTAAGTAACTGATTTTATGACCTAAAAGCTGCTAGGTATAGTCTTGAGTACCTATTTATTGGTTGGATGGTTGGTTGTTTGGGTTTTTTGAGACAGATCTTACTGTGTACCCCAAGCCAGCCTTGAATTCACAGTCCTCTTTGCCTCTGCCTCCTGAATGCATGAGCTACCATACCTAGCCCTTGATAGCTAATTCTCTTATAATGTCTGATGGTACTGGCTTGTTCTGCCTGCTAACAAAGATAGAAATGCTCAAGCTAGGGGCTGGAGAGATGGCTCAGAGGTTAAGAGCATTGCCTGCTCTTCCAAAGGTCCTGAGTTCAATTCCCAGCAACCACATGGTGGCTCACAACCATCTGTAATGAGTTCTGGTGCCCTCTTCTGGCCTGCAGACATATACACAAACAGACTATTGTATCCATAATGAATAAATAAATATAAAAAAAAAGAAATGCTCAAGCTAACAACCTTCAGGTGTTCCTCTAACTATTACACATTAAAGGGCTAAGAGGACACTGAGGGCCCAGCATGGTAGTACACACCTTTATTCACTTGGGAGACAGAAGGATAGATTTCTGTGAGTTTCAAGGCCAACCTGATGTGCTTAATGAGTTCCAGGCCAGCCAGAGCTACACAGTAAAACCCCGGCACACAGATTGTGCACATACATGCATACATGCAAACAAAACAATCATACATAAATAAATCTAAAAATAAATGACAGAAGAAAAGGTCATTCTGGCCCCTGCCCTCACATAGCTGTCCATTTGTTCCTGCAGGAGAAGTGTGCCCAGTACTGGCCATCTGATGGCCTGGTATCCTATGGAGACATCACAGTTGAGCTGAAGAAGGAGGAGGAATGTGAGAGCTACACTGTCCGAGACCTCCTAGTCACCAACACCCGAGTAAGATGGGATGTGTACTGGGTGGAGCTGCTCCTGTGGGAAAAGCAAGGCTTCCACTGTTTCCCTGACCTCCCTTCTTCCAAAGGAGAACAAGAGTCGACAGATCCGACAGTTCCACTTCCATGGCTGGCCTGAGGTGGGCATCCCCAGTGACGGGAAGGGCATGATCAACATCATCGCAGCCGTGCAGAAGCAGCAGCAGCAGTCCGGGAACCATCCCATCACCGTGCACTGCAGGTACTACTGACCCCTACCCTCAGAAAGCTGGGGAGGTGGGTGGTGGGGTCTGACGGTGAGTTTGGTCAGACCATGAGGAGAGACAGAGAGACAGTGCTGGTGAGCACCGTGGCATTTGATGATCCAGGCAACTGGGTAATCAGCGTGGACTTTGGAGTCTGAATTGTGTGCAGCATGTGCTGAGGAAGTGCTGATATTCAGATCTTGAGAAAAGCATGGGGCAGTGATGCATTCAGGGGAGCAGCAAGAGAGGCCAACACTGGAGAGATGGTTCAGAGGTTAAGAACACTGGCTGCTCTTTCAGAGGTCCCGAGTTCAATTCCCAACAACCACATGATGAGGCACAGCCATCTGTAATGAGATCTGGTGCCCTCTACTGGCCTTCAGGCATACATGCAAGCAGAACACTATACATAAATAATAAATCTTTAGGGGAAAAAAAAATCAGTGAAACTGAGAACAGAGGCAAGGTCAAGGATGCCTCCCAGGTTTGAGTCCAAATCAGTAGTAACCTTGACATAACCAACAAGAGAACAATGATAAGAAGGGTTATTTGGGGCAGCAAGTGACTCGTATGTCAGATGGAGTTTTAGGGGGAAAATAATGATGGGCTGTGGTATATGGCCAGCATGCTCAAGGCCCTGAGAAATCCCTAGCACCCTCAGGAGGAAAAAAGTTTATCCTGAGGTATGCCCTTAAAGGTGAAGTCTCATCAGGCATGGTGCACACAGTTAATCCCAGCACTCAGGAAGCAGAACTAGACAGATCTTTCTGTAAGTTGAGGACCAGCCTGGTCTACCTAGTGAGTTCCAGGCTGACTAGAGCTATGTAGTGAGACCTCTCAAAAGATTTGCCCCTACTCTAGGGCTGAGGATGTAGCTTTTTGCACCACATAAACCAAGCATGTTGGCACATGACCTGTGATCCCAGCACTCAGGAGGTAGAGACTAGAGGTTTAGAAGTTCAAGGTTATCCTTGAATATATAGCAAAACAGCTTAAAAAAAAGAATATCAGTACTAACTTCCAAGTTCTTCTCTTCCCATACCAGTTATACTATGAACAGTGTGTGTGTGTGTGTGTCGTTCTGATACTCCATTGCAGCTCTCCTCATCTGGATTACATATGTGGTCTCAAGATGACTGGAGACATTGGCTTTCACACTGGACACAAGCCTCTCATCTCTATGACATGCTTTAATAGCTTCTCTTGTGGTTTTCATCCTCGTGAGCGATTCCTTCTCTGTACTGTTTCTACCACATCTGTGGCCCAGGCTCCGACTCCCAGTTCAGCAGACAGTGCTTTTCAGTAGCATCTGCGCTCCTTTGCTCATGATGTCCATTGCCAAATCTCGGTCACTGCTCAAGCTGTCCGGATGGTCTGCTGGTGAAAGCACTTGCCGTGTAGGCCTGAGAACCCACGTAAAGCCAGCTGCAGCATCCCTGCATCTCCAACAGTGAGACAGGATACTAAGCTCTCAGGCCAGGTAGCCTGGTGTTGACTGTCAGTGGTAGAAACAAGACAGAATCAGCCCCAACAAGATGAAAGGCAAAAACCAACTTCTAACCTCCGTGTTATGTGTGCCCTCATACCCTGCAGCCCGTTCACTCACATTTACCTCATACACAAATAAATACAGGATTTTACAAAAAGAATCAGTACAATGAGACTACTCCTGCCTAAACTCCCAACAGGGGCCCAGTATGATGTGAGGTCTCCTTGCTAGTCAGCCTGGCCAGCATTCTCCTGGGCTCTAATCCATCCCTACCGTTCTCCCTCCCCTTCTGCACCAGATAGAGGTACATCGTTTCAGCACCCTCCTCCTCCAAGGCTTGTTCTCAGCTAGCCAGAGTGTGTCACTGTCAGTGTGGTGTTGCTTTCAGAGAGCCTTCCTTGAACATCCTGCCTGGAGCTCTGTTTCCCCTTCTTTTTGCTTATTGCATATCTTATTGTCTAGGACTGCTGAGTTCACAGCCCATGTCATAGAGCTGTGTGGTAAGAGAATCAGCCAGTAATGTTGGACAAAGTGGATTATGTCAAGATGGAAGTTTGAATCCCTTAGAAAGAATGGGAAGGAATCGACAAATACAAGTGCAGAAAATCTGACTCGGCAGTCGGTGAAGACAGCCTAGTCAGCAAGCGGTCAGGGTGGCAGGGTAGTGAAAGTTGTCACCACAAGTCCCACAAGCACACCCTTAGTGCACACAGGAATGGCAGCAGGATCCATCAGTCACCTCTCCAGAGCTTTGCTCCCATAAAACTCCAGGCTGAGGGGGCAGAGGTGAACTTGGGTCTCTTGTTCCACTGACACCTTCCCCTGGCAGCTCCATGGATGACTCATCTTCCCAGAACCAGCCTCAGCCTGCATCTGCTCCTCACTACCCTTCCCCTCAGGATAGACAGCTACAGACAGCAGGTGTGGTAAGTGTGTCTGCTCTGTTTCAGCGCCGGGGCAGGACGGACAGGGACCTTTTGTGCCTTGAGCACAGTCCTGGAGCGTGTGAAAGCTGAAGGAATTTTGGATGTCTTCCAAACTGTCAAGAGCCTGCGGCTACAGAGGCCACACATGGTCCAGACACTGGTACGCTGCATGTCTTTCTGTGACTACACTAACCACAGCTATTCCCTGTCAGGAGCGAGCCTTCAAAGCAAGCCCCATAGTCAGAAGACAAGAAGTGCCTTGGGAAGCAGGGTCAGAGTGGGAGCACAGCCTGCTACCCAGAAGAATAGAGGATCAGTGGGTAACAGCACTTGTTCCCCATGCATGGAAACCTGAGTTCAAATCCCTAACACCCACCTAAAAGGCTGGGCATGGCTCTCTGTATCTGTAACCCCAGCACTGAGAACAGACACAGGCGGATTCCAAAAGCTCACTGGCCAGCCAGCCAAGCTGAAACAGGCATCTTCTTCTAGTTCAGACCTTTCTCAAGGGGATAGGTGAGAGCAATTGAGGAAAATGCCCTACTTGATGCTCAGGCCTATGGGTGCACAACCACACCCGAATACCCACGTGCACATGCATAAAGGAATGCCTGAGTAACCCCCAGGCTTTGTACTCTGCTTTGGGGTCTGGTGGGAAGGAGCGGGCAGGAGTGCCTGCCTGTTCACTTGGCCCCTCCTGTTCAGAGGTCTGACTCTTGACAGTCTGTATATCCGCAAAGGTTTTTCTGAATCTTGTGGGGCTAGAAAGGTTTGAGGGGAAACAGGAGTTTTAGGAGATCTGAGAGGAGAGGAAGCTTTCAGAGTTAGGATTCATCTCAGCCTGACAGCCTGAGCCAGCTGAGGGCCACCTGAGATGCTGCATGTTCGGCCTCACATGCTTCCATCTGACTGAAGGACCTAGAACTGTCCTCACACGTCTGCTCAGCTGTCTATAAATCCACTGTGGTCCACAAACATTTTTCTCTCAGTTTTCCATTTCAAAAACTGGGTCTGTTAGGCCATGGTGATGGTGCACACCTTTATTCCCAGCACTCAGGAGCAGAAACAAGTAGATCTCTGTGAGTTCTGGGCCAGCCTGGTGTATACAAGGAGTTCCAAGCCAGCCAAGGATACATAGTGAGATTTCCAAATTAAAAAGCAGGCAGGGGTCCATTAGGAACTGGGCTTCAGCAGTCCCTTTGGTGATGAGTTTTCCTCCCTGTCTCTGCTTGTTCTTCAGGAACAGTATGAATTCTGCTACAAGGTGGTGCAAGAGTACATCGATGCCTTCTCAGACTATGCCAACTTCAAGTAACAGGTGACACGGCCCACAGACAGGAGAATTGCCTTTAATATTTTGTAATATTCTGTTTTGTTAATATACCCAAATTGTATATATCTTATAACTGTTTTAGAAATGGCACATAGGCTTCTATTACCTATTAGGTGGAGATTTTGTATGTAAATGTGTTAGCACTGATAGTCTTTTTTCCAGTGTTTTATTGGGGAATTAAATAGTGTGATATTTGGATTGATATCATGAAATCCTCAGCCTGGAAATTGGGCTGGATTATTCTTTTGCTTTAAACATCTTTTCCTAAAGAAGACAAACATAAAACTCATTCCAGGTAGCTCGGTGCCAACTGAAACAAAGCACAAAGTTCTCAGAGCTCTTGAGGAAATGGTCGTCTCACTGTCCCCACGCAGACCTCTCCCTCCCTGTACTGTAAATATCCGTCCCCTCAGTCCACCCTTGTCTCCCACATATCGCAGCATGGGGCATAGTGAGACCAGAGCAGTATCTCTGGCACCACACTAGGGATCATCAGGTAATAAAAACTTTTGATTCCCTGAGGAAATGCTGGTCCCTTTGTCTTGGGCAGGGCAGCCTTATTAGACTGGGGCTCTCCTGGGCTAGAGCAACCCTGTCTTTCAGTCCCTTGGCCCACTGTTCTGTCAAGTGCAGTCATCCCAACCATCAACCAGCTTTGCTCCCCAGGATGGATTAGGTTCTCACTGAGTTTCTCTAAGGGAAACACCAGGGGCAGAGAGGCCAGTGTGGCCTCTCTAGAGTTTCTCTCCAGAATATGTCTTCAGTTGTTTTCTGGAGATGTAATTACTATTGTTCAGGAGTTGGGTCTCCTCTCAGCTTGCTGTTGAGCAGGGCAGATTAGTCACCCTCCTTGCTGTGGCAAGGCCCCATGACCAAGGCAACTTATAGACGAAAGTATTCAATGTGGGCCTCACAGTTCCAGGGGAGAGTCCATGACCGACTCGTGGTGGAGCACGCAGTAGGCAGGCGGAAATAGTGGAAGCAGTATCTGAGCGCCCACATCTACCAGCACGAGGCAGAGAGAGATATACTAGGAATGGCATGGGTTTTTGAAACCTCAAAGCCCAGCCCCAGTGACCCCTGCTAATCCTTTTCAAACAGTTCCACAACTGAGGACCAAGTATTTGAACATAGGAGCCTTTGAGGGCCATTTTCATCTTTTTTGTTTGTTTGGTTTTTGGGTTTTTTTATTTTTTTGTTTTTGATAGGAGAACTGGACTGGGATTATAGACACTGCTAGACCTAGGCCTATGGCTATCCAGGGCTGTTTTGGAAGTAAGACCTTGCCACTACATCTATCTTTTTGTTTTCTCTTTCTTTGTTTTGCTTTTTTGAGGCAGGATCTCAACTGTGTAGCCTGGACTGACCTGAAACTCGCTCTGTAGACCAGGCTGGCTTTGACCTCACAGAGATCCACCTACCTCTGCCTCCCAAGCTGTAATTAAAAGTATGCATCACCATGCCAGTTCCTCCATTTTCTGATGCCAATATTCTGAGGATGTAATTGTCATCCCCATGATGAGAGGTAGGCCACTGCTACCAGTGTGGGACAGGAAGGAGCTCAGAGAGCAAGCAGCTTCATTTTTACAAACAGAAGCACAAGTTACACTTTCACTGACTACAACCCAGGCGTGTAGCTGCCTGGGGATATTTTGGAAATCTAGCCTTCACTTGCACTGGCAAGGGTGGCAGATTTTTTCCCCCACATCACAAGCAGGTTCTCAGCGCAGCAGGTGTTCCTGCAGTCACAGAGGGCACAGATGGAGAGTGGGCGTGCCCTCCACTCCTCAGAGGCTTCCGCAGGCGCCCTAGTATGTTCCACAGTGGCACATTCAGAAGTAAATGCTTTTGGGATGCTTGGAGGGGGGACCTTAACTTAACCCAAGGGGTGCTGAGAATTTAGGTGAGTAGAAAGGAAAGGTCAGAGCCGGGTAGTGGTGATCTCTGAGTTCAAGGCCAGCATGGTCTCTGTAAAGTTCCAGGACAGTCAAGGATACAAAAATAAAAGGAAAGAGGAATGAAAGTTCTGTTGAAGCCATCAGGGGCCTTCAAATCCAGACAGAGTTGTGAAAAGGAAACCTACTTGTGTACTAGATATTTATAATATTGATATAAAAGAAAAAATGTGGGGTAGAGGGACAGCTCAGTGGTTAAGAATACTTGTTGTTCTTGCAGAGGACGTGGGATCTGTTCCCAGTACTCACATGATGGCTCAGAGCCATCTAGTTCCAGGGGATTCTTCTGATTTCCTTGGGCACTGGTCAAGCAAATGATGCACATACATACATGTAGGCAAAACACTTATAAATAATCCTAAAAAAATATTTAGACTGGGCATAGTGGCAAAGTGCCTTTAAACCCAGCACTTGGAATCAGAGGCAGGTGGATATCGGTGGGCTCAGGGGCAGCCTGGTCTACATAGTTCCAGGACAGCCAGAGCTACAGAGTGAGACTCTGTCTAGGGGAAAAAAAAAAAAAAAAGAGTAAATTAAAAAAAGTTTTTTTAGTCGGGCATGCATGATGACGCAGTGCACACCTCTAATCCCAGCACTCGGGAGGCAGAGGCAGATAGATTTCTATGAGTTCAAGGCCAGCCTGGTCTACAATGCAAGTTCCAGGACTGCCAAAGTTAGGGCTGTTGCAGAGAAGAACCCTGTCTCAAAAAATCAAAACAACCAAAAAAAAAATTTTTGAGAGGAAGAGAAAGATGTATGGGAGGAATCCCAGAATACTTGGAGAGCTAAGATAGACCGCAGAGCAGCTCTACAGTGTGAGTGTGAGTCCTTGAGCGATTCTGTCTCTAGGGCTAGAGCTCTAAAGGGCCTCCAGTACCTTAGAGCCTCAGTGTGACCAAGTCCAACAGTGGAGGAGAATGGCTGTTGGGTCAGCAAGCCCACAGTAAATACAGCACTAAATATCATGTCAGTAACAGCTATCCCGTCTACCAACAGGGAAGGCTGCTCTTGTCTTGCCGAGGCTAGTCTTGAGCGGGGCATGCTGGAGTGTTCTGGATAGTGCAGCTGAGCAAATGTTAAACACACCTGCTTGCTCATAGCTGTCTTCCAGTAGGGATGACCTCAACTCTTTGCTCCCCTTCCGTAGATTTAGCCCTCAGCCTTTCCTTCACTTTTCTTTTTTAACCAGGGCTTCAATCGCACGAGGGACTCCTGTATGTCCAAAGGAAAATGTGTCTCACATAGCGCAACCGTGTGGAAAGAGCGAGAGTGACCAATTCATCCATGACACTCTGGCAGATGAGCGACAGCTGGGTCGGGGGAGGGGTCGGAACGGAAGTGAGCATTTCCTCCAGCACTGCCTAGAGCCCTACCACCTAGACCCTACTTCATTGACTCCACTTTGTCACCACTGCCCCCCAGATCACCTGCCATTGAAGACAGGTGACATTGAGGAGAAAAGTGAGCACATTTTGAAAAAATGTAAATAGAATTGGTGCACAATCTGCACAAAACAGGGTGATTATAAGTTCTTTAAATTTACTGCAGTGTCCAGGTCAAGGGACGAAACTGGCACTTGGTGTTTCTCAGACCTTAGGAGGTGTTGTTAGAATCCAAAGCGTTAAGTTGGAGATGCTGCTCAGTTGACAGGGTGCCTGCTTAGTGTGTGCAAAGTCCTGCATTTAACTTCCTGCACTGCATGAGCTGGTCATGGTGGTAACACATACAAGAGGTGGAACAAAGAGGCTCAGAAGTTCAAGACAGCCTCTATTAAGAAAAGAAAAAGATTTCAAAAAAAAGTTCCTTGTGGATTTGTTTCCAACATGTCTATATGGTAACTTATCTCTGTTAGTAGAGTTGAAAAGTTCAGGGAAAGGGCTCTGCCTCCCTTTTGACCACCTTGTAGCCATTTTGAGGTTTTGAATATTGTGTGTGTGTGTGTGTGTGTGTGTGTGTGTGTGTGTGTGTGTATGCCATAGAATACATTTATGGAGATCAGAGAATAATTTGCAGGAGTTGGTTCTTTCTTCCACCATGTGGCTTCCAGGGATTGAACTCACGTCCTCAAACTTGACAGCAAATGCCTTTGCTCATCTTGCAGGTTTACCATTTTAATTTTTTAATGTGTTATATGCACGCATACATGTGAGTTTCCTTCCCTCAGAAGCCAGAAGAGAGTATTGTGTCCCTGGGAAATGAAGTTACAGGGATTTGAGCTGTCTGATATGGATGCGGGGAATATTTAACCTCACTGCAGGGCCATCTCCAGTGCGATTGTGATTTTTGTTTCAACCTCAGATCCCTTCTATCTATTGCTGTGACGAGACGTTATGACTATGGCAACTCTCATAAAGGATAGCATTTAATTGTGGTGGCTTGCTTACAGTTCAGAGGTTCAGTCCATTATTATCATGGCAGGACATGGCAGTATGCAGGCAGACATCATGCTAGAGAGGGAGCCCAGAGGTCTACATCTCGCACAGGCAACAGGAAGTAGACTGAGACACTGAGTGTGGCTTGAACATGTATGAGACCTCAAAGCACGCCTCCACAGTGGCACACTTCCTCCAACAAAGGCACACCTTCTAATAGTGCCACTCCCTTTGGGGTCCTTTCAGATCGCCATACCTAGGAAGATCTGAGGCGGGGAAGCGTTTGTCTGATGACCTTAAAATCCAGCAGCAGCTTCACGTATGTTCACGGAAGTGGATGTTGTGAGAGGGGTTTGAGTAGCAGCCTGCACCTCCTGTTTCAAGATGTCACTGCACCATGGCTTGGTTGGCACACAAGCCTAGCACTAAGGAGATGGATTCAGGAGTATTACCACAAGTTCAAGACCAGCTTGGGCTAAGTTGCAAATATAAGGCCGTCAAGTAGGACCCTGTTTAGGTTTTTCTGTTTTTGTTTTTTTTTTTTATTTGTTTGTTTTCAAGATGTCACTGGATTTGACACCAGAGGAAATGGTGCTCCTGGTCATTAAATCCTAGAGTCATCCTGCAGCAACCCAGCGACACCTCCCCCATAATTTACCCCTTAGTATATGAGGGGTATATACCTCATTGCGCTCATCCCAAGTCCATAGTATCATCCCTCTCCCATGATCTACCCAGAAAAGCCTCCTTTTCCGACATTTTTCCAACAATGCTATCTATTCCTGTCCTTGCCGCCTGCGCATGGGAGGGTCAGCAGCTGGAAATCCTTCTGTCACTGTACACCAGTCCACATCCCCACAGGCCACTGGGACAGGGAGCAGAGAGCCTGCCCCCTCGTCCTCTAGCTGCAGCCAATGAAACTGTCTGCACACTGCTCATCCATTTTAGGCCTAATATCTCTGTTCTCCGCACTTACACTTAGGAAACCCCCCTAGAGAAGTGTGGGTGGGCGTGGCCATCTGAGGACTTCAGCGCTAACCAGGTTAGGGGGTGTCTAGGAAATGTCTTACACCAGGAATTCTTTCTTGGCCCAGACTCAAATTGTCTTGAGGTGCCGGTTGGCTAGGATGACCCTGAAAAAGATGTGGTACACACACACCTTTGATCCCTGAACTTAGGAGGCAGTGGCAGGTGGACCTCTGTGAACCTGGTCTACATTGTGAGCCCCAAGCCACCAGAGTATGTAGTGAGGCTTCTCTCAAAGACAGGAGGGACGGGCTGTGTGTGGAAATGCGGGGCTCCTGGCCTTCAGAGCAGCCCTGCAGGGGCCAGCTCCAGGCTAGAGTGGCGGTAGTACCCTCAAGGGCACAGCAGTGATCTCATGGCTGGCACCCTCAAGGAAAGCAAGACTCCAGCTCACCGCAGGACTCCAGAATACCTTCTGGCATCAAATGGGCAGTAGGTCCCCTAAGCCTGAGAGGAAGACAGTGCTATCTGGGACTCCTCCCCCAGAACTGGGCCTGGAAGTTGAGAGTGGGATGTAGGCAGCCTTTGTCCTGAGAAAATGTCAGCTACTGAAGCCAGCCCAGGCCACTCATCACCTCCCAAGTGCTGTGGACGGACAGGACCATGGCCTGCTCTTCTCTGCAGAATTTGGTGTTGACGGTACTTGAAGGGACTCTAGCCCACTGGAGCATGTGGTTTTGGCTGGCTTTGTCCTTCCCCCTCCCCCATTCCCTCCACCTAGCTAAAAAACCATTAGATTACATCCCTAAAGCTAAGCCATCAAGGTCTGTTCCCTTACTAGGACACTTTCTTATGCCAGATTCACTCCCAAGGATGAGTACCAGAGTCCAGCAATCAGAAGCCTTTGGTTCACAAATTAACATTCCCCATCAAAATACACCACCAACTCTAACACAGACCTCCGCTTTCTTGCAAGGTCGTTTGTTGACTCGGGCACTTTCACTTTTCTTCCCGGCCTAATAAAGGATCTCTCTGTGAAAACAGGTGTGTTTGCGTGTGGTTTGTGCCTACCCGGAACGGGAGGAAGCCCCTGATGTACGGGGGCGGT